ACCAGTTCTGTGTTTTTCATGAATGTTAGTGCCTGCTTCCCTCACTTGTTCTTGTTTATTTGTTTTGCCTTCATAAAGAGAGATTGAAAAAAATATGCATTTCAGATTGCTGCCATTTATAAATGGTGACAGAAGGTTAGATGCCAGTGAAATTCATGAATGTCTTCTCTCTCAATGCGATCTGTGAAAAAGACTCAGAGCGCTACATGGCACATGGCAGCTGATGTTTATGGCGCTAATTAAAGTCCAGGATCACAAAACCCTGCCAAAGCCAGTTTTTCACACAGAACCTGGAGGAAGAAAAGTAGCAAGAATAGCTTGGGGAACATGGAAAGCAAAAGAAGATTCCTGTGGTTAGAAATACATAAAATCCACAAATGAAACAGTATGACAAATATCAAAAATGTTTGGCATGAAGTGAGCTATGGAGTAGCCACTTAATTCTGTAAGCTCCCTGGGGCAAAGCCTGTCTTTCTGATATGTTTACAAAATATCGTACAAATAGGACCTTGGACTCGCGCCTGAAACTCCTTGGGGCCATCATAGAGAGGCATGAGTTGCTACAACAACTATGAACATGCTAGAAAAAAATACTGGTAGTATTTAGTAAGGTTTCCAAAGCTCATCTTCCTTCTGATGGAAAAACACTGTGGTGACATATAAGCCACTAGAAACCAGAGATCTTTTCTAGTAATGGCTTTACTGTGTTTGAACTGGATACACAAGCATATGCTATACGTCTGTTTTGGACCAAAAGCACAACTAATGGGGACTGCCAACTCCTCTCATTTCAAGGGAACTCTAGGGATTGTTGCATGCACTGAGAGTCTGGCCATGTGGCATGAGGAACAAAGACCACACAAAGGAGACAAGCTGCAAATGCTCATCCATTCTAGAGAGTCTCCTGGGAGACAACACGGGCATCTGCAATAGTAGATGCACCAGTTAAGAGGGTAGTTTACAAAAACATGCTAAATACTGACTTTGCCATCTATATTACCAAAGCATTACCTACAAGATCTATCCAGTGCTGAAGACTTATGAACATCTAGTTTCAGTACAGGACAGAAATTTCAATAGAGAACAAGAGCTTCAATACTTTTATAGCATATGATTTATGAAGTGGCATTAACATTCTTGAAAGCATTGACTTGCAATAAGAACATTTATGCAAGAAAGATGTCAGTTAAAGAATACAATGTGACTGTAAATTCAGATGAGCCCTCTGGGAAAAGAGATTGGAGGAGAAAGGCAAGACTGCAATTATGAGTTTCCCATATGAGGTTAAATAAATATATATATATATACATATATAAGTAACTAAAGAGAGGCTTACTACTAAGTAACAATTGTTCTGCTCTTTTTTTCCTAATTATTTTCAACTTGGTACCCCAAACCTAAACCCTTTGTTTTGTTGGATCCCATCTTTCATCTCAGGTGCCTGAGGAGCCACAAGCACATGGATAAATAAGCCATTAAGAAAATGATGTGCATAGACTGTTCAGTATCTGCTACTTAGGGCAGGCTCACAAGTCCTTGAGGTCTTCAAAACCTGTCTGGATGCCACCCTGTGCCACATGCTCTAGGTGTGCCTGCGTGAGCAGGAAGGTTGGACTAGATGATCTCTAGAGGTCCCTTCCAACCTTAAATATTCTGTGATTCTGTGATTCCTTGGAGTCTGGCACTGCTTCCCACCAAACTGAAGTGATCCAAGAACAGGCATGGGCAATACGCACCAGGCCTCCACAGGGGCTGCTCCTGTACACAGAGGAGGTGCTCATGGCTGTRACCAACTCATACGGATCCCACCAGCCTGGGCCAGATGTCTTAACTCTGTAACTGCCTATCTGCATTCCTGTGTTCCCAAAGAACACGAAGGCATTAGCAAGCTGGATCCTACAGCTTACAGGGGAAATGTTGAGGGACCCTGGAAACATCCTTCCCTTTTTATCTACTGCAGCAGACACTATCCACAGGGCTACGGTTTAGCACCAGGAGTGACAGTTACTCTAAAGCAGCTAGCAAGATTACCCCATGCTATTCCTAATACTATTCATCAGTATCCAAAACCATGATTCTTATATGTCATCAGTTACACCATTCATTGGAAAAAAGCTTTACAAAAAGGTGAAGAAACATCTGATAGACTATTCGTTTGAGGAAGGAAAAATAACACACGTCAAAGGGGTATTCAGGAGAGAGAAGGCCAACAAATTAAATTTTTCTAAAGTACAGGAAAAATCTCTCAGTATCTCTCTWACTCAGAACCAGAAAATCTGAAGACATATACAAAATATATTATATCCATTATACATATAGAAAATAGYTGAATACTGATATTGTGGAAGCTTCCTCTTAGTCTACCCTAGCTGATACACTCTATTTAAGTAGGACACAGTAGGTATGGTAGATACTTTGTGGTCATAGAAATAAAGCAACTGCAGAAGCGCAACTGAAACATTATCAAACAGCACTGCCAATTAACATACCACTTTTACTACTTTTAATGCATATTCACTAACTTTTATGTTAAGAATTTTTTAAAGTATTTTATTGAAAAAATTTAGAAAAAAAAAGTTTTAGATCAACTTGCATGTTTATACCAAAGTTAACAGCATGATCATTTTGAAAGTGTATGTGCCCATCCCAGAAAGGCAATAAATCATGTACACAAGTCCAGTGGTTTTATCAAGTGGTTTTATCTAAGTTCAGAATGCTCACAATTTAAATACTCACATTCTTCACAGTAAATCAGGAATAAATTTGATTTCCAAGGAAACGGATGGACTGTATCCTCCTTTCAATCTAGTTAAATTGCATTTGGGGGGGTCATGGCCTATTTCTATAATTTGTTGCTCTATTTTGAATAAAATAATTATATATTTATAGGCTTGGAATGCATTTTAAATTTATTTTAGCTTGTTTCACAGAAGATATTGCACTTTCTGCTGAGCTTTACTATCTCACATGCTATAAAACATATATCTAAGTTTAATAGGGTACTTACTGATGCCCAACAAACATACTTACAGATGAGTGTAACAACAGGCCTATAAGAATATCTCTGCTTGGTACAGGTCTCGTATGACAAAAATTTCAATCAAAGTAAATTGAAGGGGAAAAAAAAAATCAAGCAGAAATTCAGTATTGCAGGAAGTATSTAATATCTTGGGGGAGAAAAAAGGGTTTCACATCAATTTTATATTTTTTTTTTCTGACAACTGTGTATGCCTTGTGCAGCTAAAATATTGACAAAAGCTCTCTTTCATCTGTGAAACCATCACAAGGAGAAATCAAGATGTTTCACAGCACTCTAGAAGGAGAAGTGGCCATGAACCTCTGCATAAATCTTTTTCCATGAAGAAACTCCTGTTCTATAGGATGTTTGACCATTTTAAGAAGTGAATAACCACAGGTTTGCCCCACTGGTCTTCGAGGTTCAGGAGAAAGATGCATTTAGCTAGTTGGAATTCAGAACTGCTGCTCACCACCACAGGGGATTTCGGCTCAGCTCTAAGAACTTCTCATAATTATCTCCTTATGGACTTCTCCTCCTCTAAGGGCAACCTCAATAACCCAGACCTGATTCTCTGTGATCCACAAACTTACTGTAATTATTGGGATTTCTATGTTTGACTTTACCAGAGGCTGAAAAATAAGCTATATTGCATTGATACTGCAGAGCAGAATCTGTATTTTATACTGTTGACATATTGAGAGTTCATTTATTAGCTCTTCTACTTTCTTAATCATTTCTAAACCCATGTGATGTAGAGTATAATTTATGTTTCTCATCAAACGGATTCACTTAATACTTCACTGTTTTATTTGAAATTGTGTAAGGTTAAGAAAAATGAGCACATATTATGTGTTACATACACTTTCTATCAGTCTTCATGATCTGCCTTCCAATGCTTTAAATGTATCTATACACACACACACACACACACACACACACACACATATTTGACCTTGAAATTTACAGTCATCTAAAAGGAAACCATACACAAAAGCTGTACATGAAGTATACTCTAAAAATAGTTGGCTCAGATTTTTTACTTTTAGGAAAACCAAGGTTTTGGAAATTAGAAGCATAAACATACGTGAAAGAATTACAAATGGTAAAATCTCATCTGAAGTAAAGCTATGTCATTTCACAAAGTTCTTACAATGTTTAGATAACTGAAGACATTCATTTTACTTTATGATTATTYCTCTCAAGTATTCATTATGCATAAGACTGATTTTTAGCAAGATGGGTTCACATATAAAGTAGGTAACTGCTTGTGTGGCTGCCTTGTCTCAGAATAATTAATAATTTAACTCACTTTTGTAATCATGCAGCTCGTAATTTACTTCAGAATTTTATTCATCAAAAATTTCTTCTTGCCCCTGGCATGGCTCAAAAACAATGTCCTTGGACAACAGAAGAGAGTGTTTTACTACATCAGCTTGGGGATACATTTACAACCAAGAGAAATCAGTCTTCTGATAGAGAAAATGAATCATTGTCATCATTTTTCCCAGAGATGTTAAGTATAGATTTTAAAATACATTGACTAAGAAATTACTCCAGACTCATTGTTTACAGCTTTAGTCATCCTCAAGCACAAAAATACATGTTTTATTTTAAAGACATTAACTTTCTGCTGGAAATAGTGGTATTTCACACACATAATTATTATTTCACATAGCAGCACAGTAAATAAATGCGTTGCCTTACAAACAAAGCAATTAGGACAAAATGGTGAAGAAGAAACCAGAACAACTATTTTGATTAAATACAGAATTCATTTAAAAAAAACGGAACTAACTTTACTAGAACTGTAACCACAAAACATGCAATTTTCCTTTGCTTTTCCAAAGCTTGACACAAATTATTTATTAACTCCCCCAAACATGCCAGTGACAGCACAGACACATGACATGGCACAAGGCTCAACGAGCACCGCACACACACACCCAGGACAGCACCTCAGCTGCTCCAGGCTGCAGATCTGTCCTCTATCTCTTCATCTTGCTCACACAAATGTGGTTTCAGTAAATACACGCTACTACAGAAAACAGCCTGCAGCTACAGCACTGCTCACACAGCAGGACCAAATATTCTGTTCTCTCACATTCTGCAAGAGGAGAGCCTTGCAGTTACATACAGTAAGCAATGTCCTGATCCATACGGTGTTCACGCATACTCCTCATTTAGCAGTGCTTAACTGCTTCACTAGACACATGCAAAYGGTCACCAAGTATCATAGTCTATATGAATTAACTCACAGTTCATTATTACCTAACTCGGTAATAATTCATTATTAACTTCCAAATACTATATCCTTAGATACACACCATTTTCATATTTCTAAAGTTCCCAAGTTTTCCATTCTTTGTGTTGATGGTTTAAACGCTAATATACACCAGGTTCTTACCTTGTGCTAATGTCCACATATTTGGCAATTAAGAAATTGTTCTTTGCATCAGTCCACATTCTCCCTGACTTCTGAATAACAGACACTATTTGCTGTGGGAGAAAAAAAACAAAAATCAAAACTATGCACTATAAGCAATAAGCTTCATATTGACCACAATGCTAAATACAGTAAAGATTAATTTCCCTGTACACTTAATGTCAAAGAAGAACATGGATATTTCCTCTTCTTTGAACTGTAATCGTACTAGTGTGGCAGAATACTGCAATTAAATGACAGGTATAGGAAACAGGAAATTGTCATATTTTAAAAATTTGGAGGAATATAAAAATATTATTTTGGATAAACCTTTTCTTTTTCTTCTATACAAAGGTCTTTCCTTCTAGTTACACCTCTTGACTATCTTTGTGTCCATTGTAAAGGGTCTGCTGGATTACAGAGAACAAGTTCAGCATATAAAAAGCAAACACTTTCTTAGCGAACACTCATCCTCTTCTACCTAATCCATCTGCACTCTAATAGCAATTTCTCTCCACTCCTTACATCCTGTTATCACTCCCTCTGTCAAACTTTTTATTGTATATTCAAGAAGGAACCTATTCCAGCCAAACTATTTTTATTCCTATTCTTTTTTTAGTGGTAGAGTGTGCCAAGATATTCTTAATGTCAAGTAGCTTTCACTTGGCTATAAGTTCTGAATTTCTCTCTCTCCAGGCTGACATTTCCTGTGTAGGAAAACTTATTTGAATCTTTGGTCCAAGTCTCTTTGGGTTTATCATAGTTAATTGCCTAACATAAACTCTGATACATGGGTTTATTAAATAAAAATAGGAAGGAGGGAACAAGTACCTTAGGTGGGGAGGAACCCTCTACTGTCTTTTTGGCTCTGAAAATAAAGCACCTTGTATTTTCATCTGCCAAGTGAAGAGTGCTCTTAGTCTAACTTTGTTACAGCTTGTGGAAAAGAAGATAGTTGACAGTCACATCTACCAGATAGCATTGAAAATTTAAGTATATGGCAACCATATCCTTAATGATCTTAAAATGAGTAATACAGTTACCTAAAATCCTTCAATAATTTTTCTTTTCAATTACGGAACTTGATATAACCTTGTAAAAAACATCTAATGCTATTTTGCATTATGCATCTATGCATCTAATGCATCTAATGCTATTTTCTAGCACTTATAAATTCTTTCAAAGAAAAGTACTATAATGAAGAAATTAAGGAATTTTTACCAACAGGCCAGTCAAGTAAAATAACCAGAGAGAAATAAAACCAGTGGTCCTAGCAGTACAAATTTTGCAACAAATTATTTGAGTGTTTTTAAAATATTTGACCATACTTCTAAGTTTTCAGATTCTATTACTATCACTTGAATCCTAACCTTGAGATAACTGGAATTAAGATTTTACCCAATAAATTCAGACCTATATGCAACAGAGTTTAGCCACTGGAACAGATAAACTGATAATATCAATCAGGCAAACAATTCCTAATAACATTAAGGTTCATTAACGTAGGAGTTACTTATGCAAAGTAGCCTCAAGATTTTTAAGTTTTTCTCATAAAATCACAAATGGATTGAATTCTAAAATTCCTACCACGTGGATTAACAGTTGGCTTGTGGTTTTGCATGAAGGTAACTGCTTGGCTCCAGGATATCATGCAAAAGGCAGCAGAACTGATTCATGCCTGCAGTACCTCCACATGTAACCAAGCTTCTTTTATTTGCCATTTAATGGGACCCCACTTTTCTCCAAAGAAATTAACATCTTGCAGCAACTGTGGGTGGTTCTTTTGACAATTAAGTACTTGAGACTCAGGTTAGCTTTGCAGATATCCAGCTAATTTGACAGGACATCCAAGGCTGAACAGTGGATTATTCCAYACTGCACTTAATCTTGGCAAAAATGAAGATAAAGATCTTAACTGTCTTGCTGAGTACATGTATGAAGTTACAAATACCTACTATATCCTTCTAATGCTTGTCTTCATCTCAGAAAACAGAGAAGATTTTGTAAAACTCTTACAACATGCTCTCCATGCATGAATGAGTGTTAAAATTCTTACACTATTTTGTCCTATTCTAATCTATGTCTGGATCCTAAGCTTCAGAATACTTTGCTTCCTTGATTTGAATGTGCTGTGTTTCTGTTTCTAAAAATATTCTTCTATGAGCCAATGCTACATATTTTCAAGAACCATTTTACTTTGGTGTAATGATTTAGCACAGGTCATAAGTCATATTAGTAAAGCAACAGAAATCATAATCAGTCTTAATACTGTGCTATAATTAATTTTCTTGCATATTCTCTTTGCTCAGGCTCACACTAGATCGTTGCATGTGATTTACCTTTGATGACCTTTTCTGCATGACATCTACAGTGATAACGATAGTTAACTTTGAAGTCATCTTCAAGTCCAGAGCGGCTAAAAATCCCTGCTATAAATCCCTTTTTAAAGGATTCTGAGGTTAATTGAAGCTTGTTGAACTTCTGGGTAGGTAACCAAATCTGTACTTCCCATCTCCCTTCCTCTCACCCCAAACTCTCAGATATTTCTGAAATATATCTATGAGAAACCATCGTAAAATTTCAGTTTCTCTACTGTCCTCCATAAAAAAATTAGACCAAAAGCATACTCAAGTAGTGAGGAGAACAATCTGTAAAATCTTGATTATTAATCAAATTCAATTCAAAGGAACTGCTTTTGACATTTGGGGATTTTAGGTTACTGCTCTTGGTTTTCAGTGCTTGTCAAGAAACTTCCACGATGAATGCTTTCAGTCTATTTAATCTAAGCATATTGTAACACTGTAAGCCTTGGAACACTAAGATGTTTTTTAAATAGTAACACCATTCATTTGCTTGATTTCCCTTTATAGGTGACACACTACTAATGAAAACAGTCTCTTTATTTCAAAAAGTGAATTCTAACTGCAAATTTTGATGGGGGACCTTTTTACATAAAAAGAAATGTGAAATACAGACTCCTCCTTTGGATAGATTTCATAAAGATTTATTGTAATGTTCAATTTCTAAATCTAAAATGAAATTTTAATGGTTTTTTTCTCTGAGTTAGACATTTGGTTAACAATTCAAAGCTAATTAGACCTGTTTGTCTTAATGGTAGCATTTTGAGTAACTGAGTTGTCTTTCTTTGACAATTTTGATTATTCCAGACTTGCAACGATTTTTCCAAATCCATCTTTCYGCCTCCTTGTCCTACATGAGCTGGTAGTGCGCAACTGAAAAACTAGGCAGGGAAAAAAAAAGGACTAGAACAACTAACYGGTACATTAAATAAAACTTATAAACTCCACCAAAATCACAGCTATTTCAGAATAAAGAACAACTGTGGCTAATACACTACTAAAAACACTTGCAATTGCAGATTTATTAGCTTTCCTGAGAACATCTCACATGAAGGCTTTATTCTGCCTACTAGCATGAACTCTGCTGCTTGGTACAGAAGAACCCACAGCATATTCTGCTGTCACTCAGACAATTCAAAGTCCAGCTCAAGCAGATAGGCTCTGAATGGGCCTTAACATATCTGTAAGGGGTATGAGATAGTAGTATTTTAGTTTTCTGTAGAAATTTCATTGTTAGTCAGGTAGTAAGCTGCTTGTTCACCAGAAAGTTCACCAGAACAGTAGCTCCATACTTATTATTCTAACAGATAAGAAAAAATCCATGCAAGAGGTTTTAAAGGCTTCTAACACCCAACCTTAAAAGGCATTGTATTCCTCAAGCGGTTATCTTCTGGACTATTAAAAGCAAAAGCAATTTCATCTTTCAGTGCTGAGCTGCCTCACTGTGCTACAGCCAGCAATGAAAGAGACATCAATGTCTCAAATGCTACAGTACTATTAGCTCAGCCATGTGCTGATGACTACTAATATTCTTTACATAAATATACTTTTCAAAAAGTATTTTTCCATTTCAAAAGTCTGAAAGTTTAGCTCAAAATCATTATCTTGTTTCATTCAGCATTCTGTCTAGCAGATCTAGACTACCATGCAGTCCTTACGGAAGCCTGGCAGTGACCGCTCGCTCCGTGGCTCCATGGCTCCACACAGCAATACAGAGCGGGTCTCTCTGGCGGATGCTGCTGCCCCAAGAGTCCCAAGAAACCATCAGATATACACAGAGATGTTTGTGCTTACTCTATGTCAGGCTGCATGAAGCATTCTTTCCTACTGGCTAAAGAGTATTTTTCCTCAATCCTTTTGAAGTTTCTTCTTGGGCACAGTTTTTACCTCATTTAACCATTTAGCTAATTCCTCATTTATCTAACCACCTTATTTAACTATTTAATTCATTATCTCATTKAGAGGGTCATATTTAAGTAAGCAGAAGAGCTGGTAAAAGCACCAATATTTCTAAGGCTACATCTCCAGACAACACTCCCAGGAAAGTTGACCACATTTAGGTCACAGCATGAGCATTACAGTAGTGTTACCATTAGCATGCTGCACTGTAGCTCTCCTTGCTTCAAGTCCAGCCTCTGCTCTAGAAAGCTTTTAAGACAAGAGACAACAGAGAGGAAGGAGTCAACAGCAGGTCCAGAGGGGCCTTGTGCTGATGCCCAGCACCATGCTCAGCGCTGTAGGTAACACTGAGAGCCCTAGCAACCCAATCACAGCCAAATTGTTTTGTGGTCCACAGTAAGCTGTGAAGATGTGCACACACGATGAGGAGGAACAGCAGAAGAGGTGTGAAAAAAACAGAAGAGGGAAGAGGAGGCCAGTGTGGAAGACTCATCCCAATTGGCAACCAGCATTTCACATGGGCAATAAAGGTATCATCGTAATGGGGCTAAAAATGCAACTCAGACAAAACAGAGCATCAAGAAAGTAGTGTTGACCAAAGCAYTGACACGGAAAAAACAGCTATGCAGTCACATCCTAAAAGGGCAGATGTGCCTAATTTTGTTAACATTTTACAGAAATAGCCCAAGTTTTTTTTTTACTTACTGTAATTGCACTTCAGTTGTGAAATTGCTTTGTCCTTATATTGACTGCACARCTACCACTTCTACATCCTGAAACTCTGTGTACTGGCTCAAGGAGATAAGGAACATGCAAAGAGATTACATCTCTGTTCCAACCCTCCTCTGGAATCCTAGGTCAGTTGCACCAGRTCAGTGCAACTCAGCTACTGCTTCATCAGGCAGGATTTCTCTTCAAGAACAAATCAGACAACAGGAAAGGTACCTAGGAACCTTAAAGCACAAAATGGATGTTGCCTCTTTTAGGTAATAAGGGAAGTCAGGTTTGAACTACTCCTAAGCTAGAAAGTTCCATGCTGAGAAAGCAAAATTTTATTTACTTTCTCCCAAAACTCCATTTCCAGCTTCAAAAGGCACAGGAAAGTACTGCACAAAACCATTTAACTTGATTCTGYCGTTACTGGTTTAAACCTTTCTTCCCACTAAGCAAGAAAGCAGAAGAACCATAGATACTGATACTCATACACTGAAAGAAAAAAAGAAAAACCAACCAAACAAAAAGTCAACACACACCAGTCTCTCTCCACTATGTGRTATGATTTCAGAACAGGATTGATTTTGCTACATCACCACACTGCATATAACCAGGGATACTMCTGGGGAAGCAGATGAGCTTTTGCTTATGAAAATCAAATTTAACACTTCTTCAGAGCCCTCCAACTAATTATAATGTGTAAAACTAATTGTAATTCCTAAAAAATTATTTTGAAAAGAATATGGACATCTGTCTCAGCTGCCATTTCCTTAAGACCTTACTGTTACCCAGCACCCTACAGTGCTCACTGGAGATAGCACAAGCATGCAGTGAGGACTAATTTCAGGTCTTGGAAGCAGGATGATTTGAGTCTTGCTTTTTTCTGAGGATGGGCACATTTTGCAGGTGCTCTCAGTATATAGATATGACAAATACTTTCTGCAGACCATTGCAAACAGCAGAGTCTTTTGCAAACAGCAAAGGAAACTGGCCATGAGGGGTTTGGCATTTTTTTTCATTCATGCAATCATTTTTATATTAGCACACACCTCTTCCCACTGCCAATATTTCTCTATGTCTCTCTCGCCTATGACTGCCATCTGCCAAAGAGGGGGGTTCAGAAAAACACGGTACAGGGTATTGTGTGCACATTTTTTACCATTTCCTTCTTTCACTAGACTTGTTTTATATATATATCCTGCTGAGTAGGTTCAAGAACTACTTGAAGGTTTTTCACATCTTCAACCATCTCTCAGTTACACACCATCAATCCTCTAAAAGAGAAAGTTCTCCAGACTTCCTTTCCCAAATAAATCTGGTACTAAACTTTAGCACTGATGAGCAACATGGTACAGCAGGCCAAGTGATGAAGTAGCTCAGTAACTCTTCTGTGGTGGCTGATAGATCCTTAGGAAGGAATTGGAGGGGACAAGGATTGAGTGATCTGCAACATCCTTTCTCATCTTTCCTAAACGTCTGACGCAGGGACTTCCTGAGTAAAAGATGTAAGCTTTTCAACTAAGGGATCTAAGTGAATTCTTCTTTTGCAAATTTCTAAACTTTTTTTGAACCTATGATATTGTAAGAGGAAGGGAAAACGCAGGGAGGAAGGGGACAAGCTGTTTTCATTGGTGGCCAGCGATAGGACGAGGGGTAATGGCCATAAGCTGGAGCACGGGAAGTTCCGTCTCCAGGTGAGGAGGAACTTCTTTACTGTGAGGGTCACAGAGCAGTGGAACAGGCTGCCCAGGGAGGTTGTGGAGTCTCCTTCTCTGGAGGTCTTCGAAACTCACCTGGATGCCACCCTGTGCCACATGCTCTAGGTGTGCCTACTGGAGCAGGAAGGTAGGACTAGATGATCTCTAGAGGTCCCTTCCAATCTTGAATATTCTGTGATTCTGTGTAGAGGTACAGTGTTGAGTAGCAACAAATTTCACAGCCTATGTTCGATTTGGGAGAATATTTCATTCCATTTGCTCTTCTGATTGCCACATAAAAGYTCTATTTAATTACTTTTAGAGTTCAGGAATTGGCTGCTTCAAACAAATAAAGATTTTAAAAGACTGTTGTTACGGTGATGCACTGATGGCCATCTCTTTTTTTTTTTTTTTTTCGCCTGACATCTGAAGCATCACTTTTCTAAGTCAAAGAATCAATTTAATCATTTTCCATACAGTATATATCTTAGATTATACTTCCTTCGGTCTGTACCGGCTGTAGCTTTACTATACCGTTTCTGATGTGATTTGACCAGAATTGTGCATGATATTCAGTGCATATGTGCAGAATGGGTAAATATGGCTGCACATTTTATTTTATTTCCACCACATTTTATTTCACCAATATTTTGGTGATTACTGGGCAACACTTGGAATGTTTTCTCAGAATTCAAAATTGTAACTGAATTAAAAAATCATTAATATTCAGAACAGAAACAAGTACTTCTAATGCTATTGTTTTTCATGTGCCTAAGTTTATTTAACAATACCAGGAAGGGACCTTACTAAATGTCTTTTAAAGTCTGAATTGACTATATTAACATACTTTCCCTTACCCAGTATTATTTACTATCTTGGGGATCTCCAAAGGAGTAAGTTCCAATTCGTGAGCCATGACTTTCCTTCTGCACTTTGCTTGTTTTCGCTTGGTATAGCATACTCACCTGAGTGGCCATTTTTAAATTACAGTTCCTACCTTTTTTCCACACTGGACATTAGCTCTAGCGTCTTTAGTCCTGTGACCTTTCTCTGGAAGCCTTTGAGAAAGCTGATTGAATTTGCACCCTTCTATTTGTCAGTATTTTCACTGCAGAAGTCCTCCAGTGATTTCATGTATCATGTACTTTGGCAATATGCTTTGCAGCATTTCTTTCTTGGGGTATATCAACTGCCACAATCCCATTAAAAATGCTTCTAGTACAGATATCTCCCCAATCTCCTCGCTAGAGTAGACAGGAGATTCTTTATCATCCTTTTTGTTTCTCTTTTTCGATACTTCAACTTTCTGAAGGATATTATTTCATTTTTAACATATATCCTCACTTACCCTGACACTTGGCCAGAAAGGCTTTCATCAGATGTTCCTGAAGTCTTTATGGATAAATGCTTGGCATTTACTCTCAGCCACTTACATGAGGTCTGCAAAAGAAGATATACATGGTATGTCAATTCACACTGACAGTATCGTGTCACAGAGACCGTCTGTCTCAATCCACTGTGGTTCTTGTGATTTTCTTGGGAAAATAACACACTTTTCACCTCTATTCTCCTTTTTGGGAATGGAGGTATCATTACTCTTCATTACTGTGTATTCATCCGGTCAGTCAATCTCTTAAAACTTGCACAGCAATCTTTGGGGACTTCATTGCATTTTGTACCAACAGACTCCCATTTTAGGTGCACAATACAGTTCTGTGACCTCAAGTTTCAGATGCAATGTTTTCCATATCTCTTTCACTTGTGCAGTTCTCTTCTTACTCTGGCGCATATATATATATTTTTCTTTCTTTTTCTTTTTTTTTTCCAGCACTATAGGTGTTCCTATTTTTCTGGTAAATTAAATGTTATCCCACAAAAACATGCATTTCACTGTTGGTATCCAGATATTAAGGAAGCTAAACACAAACTAGATTCTGTTTCTGATTTATTTTTCTGGTAAATGCTTTATTTTACTGACTACATTTTCCACTAACATATCGAACAGAGTAATGGATGCTCATTGTCACCTATTTAATGCCAAACTCCACTGCAATCTGCTTTAACTCAAGTTCACAAACACTTTTGTAGTCAATTTTCAAATCAATTTGCTATTGGAAAAGTAACTTTCTTCTTCGAGGATGGCAGTATTTTCTGGCTAGCTTAGCATTTGTCTTGTCTTTCAAGGAATGCTGTTTGAAAGAGAGAAATGGAAGAAGCTCTAGAAATTAACACAAGAAAAATCTCTTGTTCTTCAGAATAGTGACAACTATTTTTGTTTACAGTTAAAGCATTTTACATCAGTTTAACCCGTGAGACATTATGGTAAACCCTACACAGATTCATGTAGACATTTTAGTTTCACAAAGTGCGCCATGATGCTTAAGGACCTGAACATGCATCATCCACAGTCTTCCTGCAAAATGTTTAAGAACAGCATCCTGCTTACACTGTACACCTTTACCAGCATATAGTTGGTCTGTAAAAGACATAAACTTACACTATGATATGTTAAAGAATTTGGACGCTTCCTTCAGAACTCAGCTTTACAGAGTTTTATGAGAGTTCCCAAATAAATCAATGGAAAATTCCTAAGCAACTCTAGATATGGCTAAATAATGGRCTTGTCTCTGACTGAAGGAACTGTRCTCATCTTCGGATACTCTGAGCTCGTGCTCAAATAACTGGGCCCACAAGCAAAATTTTCCATTTTACTACCATGGTTGATTTTCACATTAAAGTGTCATAAGATTTCCCCTGTTCCTGGACACTTTTATATATTTCTATCTCATTCACACCATCAAGGTTGAGTTTCAGTGTAATTCTGATTCCAGCTGCTGAGTGGTTTGGAGCTAATCAACACTGTGCAAGATGTTCTGGTTTGCACTTTAAAAAACTTCACAGCCTCAACCAGTTTGGGACTAACATGGGTAATGGCAGCTTTGTGCCACCCCTGATACAGCTAGCTGTGAAAACTGGAAAAGTTCAGGTGCAATATGAATATCGTGTGAAAACTAAATGCTTCTTTCAGAAGTACTAACATGTTTTGTTGTGAGAAAATAGAAAGAGATCTTAAAGAAAAAAAAATTATAGCTTGACATCAAATTAATAAGCCTCTTTCATCCATTCCATCAACAAAACTGAGCTAGTTATGTTGGCCCAATGGCAATCATTCCTCTTTTTCCTCTGCCTCAACTCTTTTAAGGTTTGTCAATGAGGTAAAAATCTATTCTTCACCTAGCTTGAGAAGGGGAATCCCACCTAAGTCACTAACCCTCATAAAATCTTCTTTAATCAATAGATTCTATAAGAAATTATACAGTAGAAGCATTATGCCAAATGCAATGTCATTTTGTTTGGGGATTTTGCTCTGAAACAGCACCATGAATCACCTCAAAGCTCACAACCTGTGTGTTTTGTTTCACTGAGCCAAACAGCAAACTGTATTATATGGAATTTCCTTCTGTAGACAYGCATTTTTGCCTGTTTAAGAAGCAGTTATTGATAATACCTCTTATGGAATAAAACGACCTTTTCCAATTAATTCTATAGTCGGGGTGTTGTAGCATGACACTATCTCTTAAATGAATATTCTTGAAAACGTCTATTCTGATCAATTTAGTATCAGTGTACATAGAAAAAAAACCATTCTCTGTATGGACATAAATCTTACAAGCTTAGAAATACTGTCTCTAAAAGAAAGTGAGGGCTGAGCTGCCCTCATGAGGCTTCAGGAGCTCTGCACACAGCCAGGGTACTGCAGCTCCAGCTGGCAATACCTGTGTTGCAAAACAGCAGTTTTGTTCAAGGCTGTTACAGAAAAAAAGCTTTTTTATACGTCTGTGTCAATAGGCAGCTTTTCAGCTCCACTGCTAGGCTGCTTCCTCATAACCCAAACATTATTACAATTTGACTAGAAAAATATTATTCTAATTTTCTCAGCACAACAGAAGGACTGGGAATATATTTCCATATAAAATACATAATTTGGCTTGAAACAAACTGTTTCACTTAATTTGAGTGTTACTAAGCATTTTAAACAGCTTTCAATAAATTTTCAAAATATTCAACACTTCTAAAATGAAACATAAAACGCTTTCCTTAGGAAAATCTCCTTCAAATTAGACAGGAAATACTTATTTTGAATAGCAAAACTCTGAACTAAGTCTAAATTGAAACATGAAAAAAGGAATACCACCCACTCCTACTAAAAATAAAGGGACTCTCAAATGTTTCCAGTTTCATGTGCCACTTTAGCTGAGTCTGGGACCACACAAGCAAATGAATTTCCTCTGGACTCATCATCCCCCTTAGGACTACCATGACATATAATTTGGGAACTACTGAAGTAAGTCTTCCACAAAAATTAAGAGTTATTTAAGGGATTCTGAGAGTCAGTACTTCTCAAAATTAGCCCAATTTTTAAATATAATAATCGCTCTTACACAAGAAGATTCTAGCCTAAGATTGTGTTATGCATAAATATTCAGAAACATTATAGAAAAAATGTTTTGCCAAAGAAGAGTATAAATGTACTGCTGGTATCTCATAAAGCAACTAAATAACCCAGAACATAGACTTTTTGCAAAAAACTGTTCGACATAATAAATGTAATATTTGTGGTCAATTAACTCTTAGACTATTTTTAATTCAGAAAGCAAGCTAAATATAATTAGTAATTGATAAAATCAGATTTATAAGTCAATGTCAAACAGCAATTTTACAATTTCATAGAGTAGATTTTAATCAGGAATCCTCATCCTGGCCAAGAAACAAAATTTAAGTGCTATGATCAAGAGCATGAGACTCCAAGGCTTGTATTTCACTTGCCATCAGACACCTGATGAGGCTGCTTCCCTTAAGAAYGAAGTAATCCTGTATCCCCAGATCCTCAGCACGGATGGATACACAGTTCACACTTCAGACAGACTGAGCCAGGCTTTGATGACACTCCCTGGCTCTAACAATTAGTTTCTACAGTAGAGAGCAAGATGTGGCAGGGGCTAGGTGAGACTGAGCACTGGCCAAATCCCAGGGATGATTGTACAAAGAAAGGCAAGAACACGAGAGAAACTTGTCTCTCTCTCTCATTCTCTCTGCATACCCCGTTGGTGCGCTGGGGGGCCAAGGTGCTGCTGCCTGGCCAAATGCTGGGGAGGGAATGGCTGCTGGAGGTGAGGGAGCACCAGGACATGCTTCATCCATATCCCAACCTGTCCCCATGCAGAGTACTCCCGAGAAAATACCCTGGCATAAAAACATCATCACCATCAAACTCCAAGGAAAATCTTATATTCTTGAAAACCTTATATTCTTTCTTCATTCTTTGTTCTGTGCATGGAGATGGAAGAGGCAGAGTTAATTCAAAAGCTAGAAAGCTTTAGGTTTTTTGTTTTTTTTTTTTAACAAGGACACTTAATCTGAAGAGAATGAGTGCCGGGAATATGATTCCATGTACCTGGCCTGAATGTGCAGTTTTGATGACTGCCTTCAACATCACTGAACTCCTCTAAAGAATAAGTGAAGACCTAGAAAGTCGTTAACTATAAGAACAAGAAAAGTATTAGTCAGTTGGTATGTTTTTGCATACATGTACAGCTGACATTTAATTCTTCTACAAGAGGAAAGATTGTATCTTTATTAGAAAAGACAGGACCACACGTGCTAACATGAGCTCCTGCAGAAAATACCCCTTACAAAACTTAGGAAATCATTTTTTTTCTTCTCTTAGAGGCATGTATTCCTAACTGACAACTTGATGTGCTGTAATCTGACTTTTCTAAATGTCATGAGTAATAACCTTTGTTCTCTAGCTACCTCAATAAATTGCTCCTAGATTTACTCAAGGTCTAATTCATATATCTGTGTCTACAGGGCACTGGCTCTCTGGGGCAAGGACTCGTCCTTTCTGTGAAAAGCAGAGGATGGTCTAGGAACACGAATAAAGTAAAAAAAAATTGTAATTTTTTTTCTTTTTTTTTTTTCCTCCCCCTCCCCAGGAGTGAAGTGCTATTGAGCTTAAGGAGATTATCTTTCAGTTTCTGTATGACCAGATCTTACCTGTCAGTAACAGATACAGTGTGAGCTATTCCCCTGAAGCTGTAGTGCGTGACAATTCCTGAAGAACATTTACAGGATCCGTACCACASAGCACAAGTTTCAATTCACTGATGACTGCCTTGTTCCGTAGTTTACATTATAGATTTACATGCCTCTTTATGAAGGCAAAAGACACTCTCTGCTTTAAAGTAAGTTTGCTTGAATAAGACCTTTAATTCTGACTTTTTATTAATAAACCTGAACATTCATTGGTTGCATAAGTTTTTTCCCTCAGTTTAAAAACTGAGGAGCGAGAATACAGATTTTTCTTCCTAAGAACAGCAGTACGTACAGTGAGAGAAAACACTCGTTAGGCAGAATTCTTCCAGTTCTCTCAAGTCTAC